AGCATAACCAATGGACACTGACACTAGGGGGGTTGAGGGCATAAGGGGGGAGGTGGGGGGTGGGGACAATTGGGGGGGATAAGGACACATATGTAATACCAGGGGTCCTCAAACTACGGCCTGCGTGCCACATGCAAATACAAATATTGTATTTGTTTTTTTACTTCAAAATAAGATATGTGCAGTGTGCATAGGAATTTGTTCATAGTTGTTGTTTTTTTAAACTATAGTCTGGCCCTCCAGCGGTCTGAGGGACAGTGAACTGGCCCCCTGTTTAAAAAGTTTGAGGACCCCTGTGTAATACCTTAATCATTAGAGAAAATAAAAAACCCAAAAAAGAAAAAAACTAAATGACCAATAGCAATAATTAATATATTTACTTGATTTAATGATACAAAAAGGGAGGCAGTGGGTGAGGTATTAGATGAAACATTAGTAATGAGTTGATAATTGAAAGAGTAAGGGTAACACTGTTCTATCCACTGTGTACATTTTTAAAGATCTCTGTAAGTAAATATATTTTAAATTATTGGTTTAATCATACCTTGAGGGTATGGTTTATTAGTTTGATTACTAAATCAATGTTTTAGGCATTTCAATAAAATATTATCCTTCATGTATAAAAGAGTCAACAGTAATCCAGCAAGAGTAAAACAGCGTTCTGACAGTTTTTACAGAGGAGTAACTCATCCATGTTGTTGTCCAAAGTCTTTCACATAGATCCTCTTGAGCCCAATTCTAAGCATTTAAGAGACTGGTGGCTAAAGCACAGGCTCAATGTTCACTTGGAAGTGAGCTAGCTATTATCAGGACCAAACCCGAAGCAATCAATATATTTAAATTTTAGGAGCAAGGATTTTTAATAACTAAACTATTAAGACAGAAAAGGCAAAGCATGCTACAAAGCTACCCTCTTACCTTGACCAAGATGCGAAGGCTTTTGAGAAATTATGTGGCCACTGCCATCTAAAACATACTGCGTGCTAAAATTATCAGCAGCTGTCCTAGTTGTAATTAAAACCTGGAATAAGAAAAAAATCTAATAAAATTATGATTTTTGCAGAGGGCTCATTCTGAAGCCATATTTAAAATAATTATCATATATTCACTTAAGATTGAAAAGAGTTTTACTTAATAAATTCTTATAACCACTTCTTTTATAATATTCCTTAGAGTTACAATAAGCAATAGGCCAGTTTATAAATTTTTATGTTTAATTATTCATTTTTTAATATTTTGCTCTACATAAAACAATCATATATAAATCGGAATACCTGAAATGGCTATTTTTATTATATGTATTATGTGACTTATGCCTGTAAAATGAAATACTTCAAATGCATTAACGAAATTTGTTTTTTAACAGACTACTCACATAAATTTGTTGGTAAATAATCCTTTTGTATAGTGATCATTTTCTGCACTTCTGTATTTCAAGTTAATGGTTCAAAAGAATAAAGACAAATCAACACACATATGTATTGCCAATTTTTTCTTAAACCCAAGCTTTGAACTCACTGTTTAAATGTAATATTTTTATTATTTAAAAAAATTAGCATTAAAACATGTAAGTATAAAAAAGGGTTTAATTCAGTATGAAACATTTCCTAAGATGTTACAGTCATAGAAATATAAACTTAAGGTCTGCACTCTCCCTCAGCTTTCTGTGTACCTACCTTGTGAGGTCAGTAGGCGAGTATAACAACAGTGAGCCATATCCCTGCCAGAAAATGCTATAGGTGGGGAGTGGGGATGCTGGCAAGTAAAGCAGGTGGATTCAGAAAAGGGTAGCCTCCTCACGCTTCTGGTGAACAATGCCAACCCAAAATTGGAAGCAATCTTTCTTGGCCATCCTTAGACTGAGTACAAAACTAGAGGCCCGGTGCACAGAATTTGTGCATGGGTAAGGTCCCTAGGCCTGGCCAGCAATCAGGGCTAATCGGGGCCTTCCTTCATTCCGAGCTGCCCCCTAGTGGTCAGCACACGTAATACCGAGCAATCAAACTCCTGAGGGGACACTTTGCATAACAGGCTTTTATATATAGAGAGATAAATCTATATAATTAAGGAAAAAGCCACGAAGATCCAGGTCCGCTGCTAGGTCCAGTTGAGTCTACATCTGATGGTTCTGTCACCCTGTACTAGCCGTGCACTGACTTACTGTAGACTACATGGTTCTGTGGCACATGTGGGTATCCTGCAAGCAATTGCAAAGTCACAACGAAAACAGTACAGCTTCGCTAGTGTCAGTACTAGTTCAGTCTACTAGGTTGTCTCTGAGGGTGACATCTATAAAATCCTTATCAGGAGAATTGCTTCAAAGCTGCTACTTCTGTGATAACTCTTCTCTAATAATCTAAAACAATTATTTTACTTCTTCCAAAAATATATTCCAGTTCAAAAATTGTATAATTTAAAATTTTTCCTGATAACTGATCTTAATTTTCCTGCTATGTCACAACTCCGTGCCCAAAAGTGATTTCTTCTAGTAAAGGCTGTCAAAATAAAGAAGACAGACTGCTAGAGATTTTCTTTGTCTCTAATTACTCTGATTGTCCCTTTAAAAACAATTCTACATTTAACCAACCACTTCTCCAAAATGCCAAGGTCAACTGAATTCTATTTCTATTCTCCAAAGAGCTAGCCACCTGACCTAAAGTTGGTGTCACTGAGCAAAGGCAGCCCTGGAACTCTGAGTTCTAGTACTAACTCTGCCAGTGGCTTGCTCGATGGTCCTGAATAAATTACACTATCATCTTTAAGGGGAGGGTGATGATAAGATGAAGATGATGCTAATACTTTATAAGGTTACACGGGTTTTCGCTTCAACTACGTCAAAGTACTTCACAGATATTAGCTTGTTCATCTTCAAAACATTAATCAATAGTAAATATACTCCAGCCTCGATGAATAAATTAAAGTACTAAAAGGTGAAATGGGACCTAAGAGGTCATAATGTAACATTTATGTTAAAGTAAAAAAATAGAACACAATATTATTTCCAACATTAACATTTAAAAAATTAGAATGTTCAGGGTACTATGAAAAATTATTTAGATAGGAAATACTCTAGTTCACTACTGAAGACAGTGCAGGATAAAACGCATAAGCATGTTTCACAAATTCACGAAATACAGTGTGTTCTTCAGAGGAAGGAATTGTATTTCAAGAGTTCATTTCATCATGTGACCCTGTGTCCTGGGCAAGAACCCTTTTCTTAGACCAGGCACAGGTTCAGAATGTGTTAGCAGTCCAGTGACTAGCATTTGAACCCGCAGTAACTCCACCTCAGAAGCATCTCGAATATTACAAATTATTACTGGTGCCTCTTACTGGAGATACTGAGGAACTGTGGCAGTGAATGAATCTAGTTATGTTAAAAAAAAAAAATTAAAAATTTATTCAAATAATTTTAAAAGAAGTTTATTATAAAAGGAAAAGTTTTAGAAGTTCTTAGCGGACTTTAGCGGTTTATTACTTACCAGTTATTAAAAACTAATTCTGGTTCAGTTACTGAGTTTCAAGAAATTATAGTACTATTACAAAGCAAAGTTACAAAAAAGCATTTACAGTTTAGATAAGCACAATTTTTCTCAATGTTTTAGATAAAATGTAAATTAAAAATTTAGAATATATCCTGGTAATTCATGCAAAGAAATCCTCCCTTGACAAAAATTCATTTCAGGTAATTATGTCATAAACTGTGTTTTTATTTTTTGCTAACTTTGGAAAAATGCCACAGGAACATGGGTCTGAAAACTAAAGCAAATGGTCCTCGTGATCCAGCCTTTGCCTGGATGGCCGACATGTCTTCCTCCCACTGTGCACGTCCCGCCCGCCTTGCAGAGCCGGCCACTGAGAGACGCGCGCTGACGTCAGAACCGTCTCCCAGAGACTGCCCTGTGGGAGGAAAGCCACAGGCGGATCTGGCCTCTGACTTTTTCATTTTCCACAGGGCTCTATCACCTGTGAGGAGGTTGTTTTTAGGAAGCAGAATCTTCAGAAATTCCTGTGCCTATTCTAACTACAGCTCTCCCACCGTGCTCGAAAGGACACAGAAGCCACCTTCTCTATGGAGCCGGGGGCAGGAATCGTCAGGATGACAGCAGGGGAAGGCTTCCTCTGGCCTTTTACAGCTGAGGGGGCCCGCTAAAAGGGAGTCTCAACTTCCATCTTCAACACAGAACTTAGCTCCATTCTGTCCCCGTAAGCCATGGAGGGTTAATGTAACATAAAACTGTACCAAGTCTACAGATCCCGTATTAGCTCATCACAACATTACGTTTGGTGAACCTGATAGATCGGAATAACACCCAGCGCGCTGTAATTCTTTACGAAACGCTGGCTGAATAAATCAACGAACAGGAGCATTATGCAGAGCATGGCTGGCAATTCTAATTCCTCTGAAGGAAAACCAAAAGGAAAAACCATGAATTTATGCAACAAAACAAAGGCCTTTGGTGAAAATTAGAAGGAATTTTCCTAGGAATGGCTATAAAATTTTAGAAAGGATTTCCCCAAAATATTGAGGAGTTTACGTAAACTTTGAAGGTTGATGTGAAGTACTGCTTGCCAACAAGGGAAGGAGGAAGACTGATGATCTCATCACCTATGTGATACAGCTGCTACCACGTTCCGCATTCAGGACCAGAGAAAACTAACTTCCACTGCATGGCACGTGACAATATTCAGGACACTTTAATATGCATTATCTCCTTTGACCCTCAAATTATCATCATCACTTTATAGACTAAAACAATAAAAAGGCACTCAGAAAAGTTAACCTGTTTTATGCCTTTGGCCAACCACGTCTCTTATTCAAACACTTGGGAATGAGAATTAGGTTCTGATTCCTAGTTGAGTTTGTTCTGATTTTAAGAAAACAAACCTGTTCTGTAGTTTTCCCAAAACTGAGATATAATTTAGCCTCCATTTAAAATCCAGTTTTAAAAAAAAAACTTGTATGAGTTTCTTAAACATTTCTTTGGAGGGGAAAAAGATCATTTTTAATATAATGCCTGTAAAATATCTACTTATACAGAAATATAATATTTTTTATATTTTATTATGTTACAGGAACAATATATACAGTCTTCATAAAAATTGTATGAACAGGTCAAAATAGGATTTTCACTCTCTAGCTCATTCTATTCGGTGTGCTTAGTAATTAGGACCAGGAATTTAACATTGAGAAATGACAAATATACCAAAATTACTACTCTACAAACAATAATGTATTTCAAGAGAAGTTATGCTTGATGATATCATTTAAAGAAAATCATTATCAGTCAATTTGTGCCAGTCCTTGATACATTAATGGTTATGGAATCAGTAATCCATTTGAAAATACCAATAGGATACTCTATAGATATAAAGAGAATGTTTTGCTCCTTTGGACTGTTTAATTCTAAGATCGAAAGTCATTTTATTATTGACAAAGTAAAAAACTACCCATTCTGCCGAAACCGGTTTGGCTCAGTGCATAGAGCGTCGGCCTGCGGACTGAAAGGTCCCAGGTTCGATTCCGGTCAAGGGCATGTACCTGGGTTGCGCACATTTCCCCAGTGGGGGATGTGCAGGAGGCAGCTGATCGATGTTTCTCTCTCATCGATGTTTCTAACTCTCTATCTCTATCTCTCTCCTTTCCTCTCTGTAAAAAATCAATAAAATATATTTAAAAAAAAAACAACAAAAAACAAAAAACAAAAAAATTGCCCATTCTTTTAACGTGCATAAAGAATATAGGATTAGATGTATTTTAAATTTCTCCAGCCAATTTTGCTGCAAGTATACTTTTTTCTTTCTATAACTAAAATTAACATTATTACTTTTATTTTTTTATTCTTACCCGAGGATATGTTTATTGATTTTAGAGAGAGAGGAGAAGAAGGATGAGGGGAGGGAGAAAGGGGAGGGGCGGAGAGGGAGAGAAACATTGATGCAAAGGGAGAAACATCGATCGGTTGCCTCCTGTACATGCTCCAACCAGGAATTAAACTCACAACCTAGGTATGATTTCCTGACCGGGAATGGAACCAACAATCTTTCTGGGGTACAGGACAATGCTCCAACCAACTGAGCCACCTAGCCAGGGCTAAAATTAACATCTTTAAAATAATCTAACAAAAAATAATTTCAATAACTGGAGTTTTGGGAAATAGCTGTTTAATATTGTGCAAAACATTATCCTAATTACATACAGGATGGGGCAAAAGAAAGTTTATAGTTGTTCATATGGAAAACAGCAGTAATTAATAAATAATAATACAAGAATAAACTCTCTTTCACATACAACTGTAAACCTACTTTTGCCCCACCCTGTATTATTAATCTAATGAGCCTGAGATCATTTACAACTGTATGATTTTAAAATTATCTGCATTAGTTAGTTTGGCAGATAAAATAACAAAATCTACAATTTCTGCAATAATATAATAATATAATGACTGCAATCTCTATCCAAAATTTTTCAAAATAAATTGGAGCCTTAAAATAAGCAACTTCTATAAATGAAACTTCAATTCTGAGTGAAGAAGTCATTAAATTTAAGAAGTGATGCCCCCCCCGCCAAAAGGCAGTCATTAAGTCTTCCTGAATAACTTCATTTATTTTTTAATGCAACTGACCTTAACAAGCATCTATTGCTTTTTGTATTTCTGAAACACTATTCAGAACCTTCCCATGTAAGTTTCAACTTGACTTCTCCTTGACAACCTATCTTTTGAGCTTACACTGCAGGCCTGGGATATTTACTATTTAAATACTAGAGGCCCGAAATTCGTGTGTGTGTGTGTGTGTGTGTGTGTGTGTGTGTGTGTGTGTGTGGCGGGGGCTCAGCCTGGCCTGCACGCTCTTGCAATCTGGGACCGCTGGCTCCTAACCACTGGCCTGCCTGCCTGCCTGATTGCCCCTAACCGCCTCTGCCTCAGCCCTGCGACCGTGGCTTTGTCCAGAAGGACGTCCGGTCTATCTGATCTAATCAGCATATAACCCTTTTATTAGTATAGATGAGATACTTTTACACTTATAAATGCCTTTTTAACCACCTTAATAAGAAGGCAACATGACCTACTGTGGAACACTCAGCACTGGGAAGCATGCTATTGGAACTAAATTATTGGTTTCATCATTAACACATTATGTATCCCTAAAGAGGCTATAATTTTCATGTTCCATTTACTTCTCTATGCACAATTCCTCTGAAGTAAACTTCTTCGCACAGCACGCTGCATTCAGACAATGAAATCAGCTGACTGGTTATTAGACTGTGTTTTGAAGTTGGGGTGAGAACTGGCATTTGGTCTTCACAAGACCTGTTTCCTTGTCAGTATTATGAGATGGAGCCATGAACCCTCACTGTGGGGTGGCTGACACAGGAAGCAGTCGCAGACGGAGACTAGTGAGAAGGACACTTATCAGGAGTGCTCCCAGATGACCTTCTGTGGGGGCAGGGTAGAAAGAGAAGTGGGCTGTGCACAGTCACAGGCCTTGGGGGCCCACGGGCCACTCTGGAGCAGACAGCATGGCTGGTGGAGCTGTGAGTTGAAATAGGGCCTTTACAACCCCTTGTCAACCAATCACTGATGCAGGTGTCCTGCATGGTTTAGGTAACTCTCTTTAGCTGAGGCAAGGGCAGCCTCAGAGGGACACTGCTGTGAGCACGCAGTCAGCAATGCTCTTGGGAGCTGGGAGAATCAGTGCTCAGCCTGACAGGGGGATCTGGCAGTGACTAGGGTCTATCATTACTACCAACAAAGCTCTGTATTTCCTTTGGCTTTCAGGCACAAAACAAAAAATTCTGTGGCAAAAATAATACATATTGTAAGATTCCACTTAGATCAAGTTCAAAAATAGGTAGAAGAACTATGCTGATACAGGTCAGAATAGCAATTGCTTTGAGGAGTACAGCCTGGGAGGGGCATTAAAGAACCTTCAGGAGGGCTGACAATGGTCTCGATCTGCAGTTCACATATGTAAAAATTCATTGTGATGTGTGTGCATGTGTGCAAGTTTATAATTGTCTATTATTATGATACTTTGACAATTCTTTTACTCCTTTAGTAATTCTGATGAGCAAATTTATTTAAGTATATTCAAGGCATTCAAATGCCTCAAAAACTGAAACAAAAGACAAAATGATAAACAGATATCAAGTAGGTTCAAGTAATCAAATAAAAAAAACAGAGGGTGCTACTGGATAAGAGCTTGCAAAACAGCCATCTGAAATCAGAACTGCAGTGTCGGTGTGGATAAACCATATGGCCTATGTGTAAGTATAGTGCTGCCACCTAGCAGACAAAGCTAATAGTGACTGATTTCCGTTCTCAAAGGTTATATACATCTCAAAAAATAATGAAACACTAAATTGTATACTTTTCAACAATCCTCTGCCAAAATAAAGCTTAAAGACTACCTACCAAATTTGGACAACAGCTAAAAAAAATCAAATACTTATCACTTTATTATCATGAAGAAAAATTATATGACTTCTAAAATAGCCACTGAGAACTTAACCAATAGTAGTAGTACCGGGAGATTCAGAAGTTCTCTGGTACAAATCCCACCCCATTTTATAAGGTTTTCTGCAAGATCCTAGGGCTCTAGGTTCCCATATACAGTCTCTGGGGAAAATGATGGGCATTGCCCAATTGTAAGTTACTCTTCCCTACTCTTCGGAGTCTCAGTGAACTTAAAGTAAGTACTGAGAAAAATCACAGAAGCATGGGCTGTGCTAGTTTGGGAAAGAAGTTTTAAGCAGCGCGCACGTAAGGAATGAAAAGGTCTTCCCTCTCTTAGTGATGTTTGAACACCTGCCTTCTAAGCAAGGGCTCATCATCCTCTACGCTGAGGAGCAATGCCAGCCACTCCAAACTCCACCTCAGTGCTCCCCAACCTCGTTTTGGCCATGCCCCTCCTAAGCATCTCTAAAATGGTGATGCCCCCGTGACATAAAATTCTTATTATTCAAAAAGTGAACTCCTGTTCATGTGGAGGAAGCCTAAAAGGCCATTAACTTGGTTTAAACAAGCTTTCAAAGAACATGGCACCATGAAAGAGAAAAATAAAAGAACAAAAGGACAGTTGAAGTCCTGAGGAAGAAATCACGAAGGAATTGTTAAAAAAATAATAATATGAAGTGATATGAAAAAATGGCAAGTAAAGTTTTAAAACATATAATAGAGAACTGAAATGCATAATTATGTCACAATATATATTTATATGAATCCCCTAGAACCATAAGAAATGCCAAAAATTCACTGTTAACTCCTCCTTGAATTGCCCTCCTTAAAATTCAAATTGCCCCCCCGCCCCACGGGGCATGTGCCCCACATTGGAAACCACTGCTCCACCTCCACCACCCACAATTTTTCTTTCTTATGCATCACATTACAGAGAAAAAAAGAATAAATGAATACCTAGCTGGGGCCCTTTACTTACTTACACACACACACACACATAAATAATGCTGGCTTAGTTTTGTCTCACTTCTAATATTCTGTAATTATAAAATCACTAAAATAGTATAAATTACCTTACCTCAGCTACACAACAAATTGATCCCAAGGCTTCACCACGAAAACCGTAAGTTGTCAAATTTTCAAGATCTTCATGACTATTGATTTTGGAGGTGTAATACTTCATTGCCATTACAGGTGCATCAGTGGCCTTGATACCTTCACCATTGTCTCTCACTTCAATCTTATCAAACCCATAATTCTCCTACACAAAGTTAAAAAGTACTTTTAGTATCTAAAGACATTAACCCCTTCCCCGGCAGAAACGTGTATACTCGTTTTCACAAAATGTTCTTTTTCAGTCGTCGATGAGTATACTAAGAAAATATGGTAAAAAAATATGGTTTATAGGAAGACGAGTTACAAACTGTTTTCATAACCAGCATCAAAAATACTATAGAGAACCAAAATAAAAAAATTAGTCTGAAAAAGAAATGTTTTTAACAAAAAAATTGTTGGGGAAGAGGTTAAACTGTTACAACATTTAGAAACAGAAACACAAGTGAAATAACATTATCATTTATGTACCTCCTATGGAAACTTAATCTTAAGGAAGAGTTTAATTCCTTAAGTCTACTAACTCCTAGTTATAGTGCAATGGCCAAGTCCCTCATTTTCCCAGGACTCAGATTCAACTGTAAAATCAGAAAAATCAGTCTGATCGTTAAGGTTCCCTTGAATTGCCTCAGTATCATAGGTATTTATGTTTAAATTTATGTTTAAACTTGACTAAAGAAAGTTCTTCTAAATTACAAATACCTTTGTACATGGTAATCTCTCAAAGTAAAGCCATAACCATCAAAAACAACACTCACCAAGAGTCTAGCAATTATCATTATTCAACCTGATTTTTAATACTTTATCCCTTTAACTACTTGTTCAATAAGAAGTTTAAATATTTACATTACAACTTTAAATTTCTTTCTGCATAGTTACCTAACAGGAAACTGCTGAGAAAATACACCTAATTTGGCAATCTCGGTGAGTTTTTAATTTGAAAAATCAAGGGAAAAAACCCTCAATTGATAACTTAGCACTCTTAGCTAATACTAAAAAGATGTATACATAACAAAAAAATCTAAATTCCTAAAGTGATCACACTTTCTATGAATGCTACATTCTAAATTTGGTACTAAACATCTATGATAAACTTGACTTCACAAAGTTTTACGTGTATGGCCATAGATGCAAATTTTAAAGGGGGAAAAATCTTCCTACATTTATAAAGATTCTGGTATTTAAAATGGTATCATATCTTTTTAATAGTCTAAAATTATTTAATATTTTTATGCCAGTACTTTTTAGATTATATATATATAAAAGGTATTGGAGGGAGACATCCAAATTTAGTTCCTCAGCTCTTTCCAATTTAAAATTAAATTATCCTGGGAATAGCTGGTCTGTTTTTTATAGAAAATCATTAACTACAGAAATGCAAATGTTTAAATATAAATAAGAACTATAGTCATCTGAGAAAAAGAACACAAAGATCCACTTAAATGTTTCAAAAAATATTATCTGCTTAACTAATTAGGAAAACATTCCTAGCCAGTATAATTACTATTGCATGAAACCATAATAAAACAGGCCTTATTTTCTATAGCAACACAGTTATTTAAAAACTCTACAAAGCAAACAAAAAGAAGCTGAAGCTGATAAATCTCAAGGGATTAAAATACATAGCCAGTTAAAAATGTGTACTTTCATTTACTTTTGTAAGAGGACTTCTGTTGGCTTTATAATATGACATTTAAAAAAACTTCTTTATTGTTTAAAATATTACATATAGTATTACATATGTCTCCTTTTCCCCCTTGACCACCTCCCCCTTGCATAACATGACTTTTAAAAATTGTTTTTCAAAACCGCATAGAGACCGGTGGTTTTGCATGGGGAGAAGACACTTGACTCACCCTATTGTCTGTGCCCCTGGAGTGGAGTTTCTGAGGTCCATTAAGAGACTGAAAATAACAGTTAGCCTCCAGGCAGAAGCAATTGCCCCACCCTGTTGGAAAAACTCTCACTACACCTGAGGATGATTGCCTAAGGGTTAATCAAGACTGAATCCAGTCAGTCTGCAAGCAGAGGTGGTCTCTGGAGGCTCTGAGTCTTTGCCTAATATAATTAGTCAGAAACAGTGTTTGAGACTGTTCTGCACTAGAGACTGAGAGGTGTAGCAGATCTACCTAGTACATAGTCACAAATCCAATAGGCAGCCAAAATGAGGAGACAAAGAAACAACCCCCAAATGAAAGGACAAGAAAATTCTCCAGAAGAGATAAATGAAATAGAGATAAAAAATTTACCTGAAATAGAGTTCAGAATAATGATGGCAAAGATATTTTCCTTCCAGAGAACTTTAAGAACAAGATGTTTGTCTGCCTAAGATTCTTAAGTAAAATACATTCGATATAATTATCTAGTACTATTTAATTACTATCAGTTGCAATAGAATCAGACTAAAGTGAATATAGAAAATGTCCAAGAAAAATAAATTGTCTTTCTTTGGGTTTAATAATATTTTTCATGTTTATAAAGCTTATATTTAAAAACAGGTTCCATATGGTATAGAATAGCCATTCTCAGCATCAACTAGAAATCTGTTAGAAATGCAAATTTTTTAGTCCCACCGAGAATCTGAAATTCTGGGGCCCAGTAGCTGTTTTAACAAACTCCTTAAATTATGATGATGCACCCAAACACTATGAGAGTCACTGGCATATAGGAAAGACCTTAAACAGGTTTGAGTCAGAAAGATCTGAATTCCAATCTCAGCTCCCCTATTTACAAATTACATGCCTTTGGCAAGTTCTCAGAACCTTATTATTTGTATAATGGGTATAGCAGTAGTTAATACACAGAGTTTTTATAAGAATTTTATAGGATACTAGAGACTCAGTGCACGAATTCATGCACAGGTGGGGTCTGGCTGGCCCCTCCTAATGGGAGCCCATCAGGCCAGGCCGGCAGAGGGGAGGGGCCGAGGGCAATTGTCCATCTGGCCCTGCCCCCGATCGGGGGTGTTAGGGGCTGATTGGGGACGGGATCAGGCTGGTTGGCTGCTGCAGTGCACGTCATAGCCACCAGCCGTTCTGGTCATTCTGCCGGTCCAGTTGCTGGGCTTTTATATATATAGATAATTATATACATGAAAAGGGTAGGTTTCTTTTCCTACAAAAATATTAGCATTAGTATTACTGCTAATACTGTAATACTTAAAATAATGTAAATATCTGATAATTAGGAAACTACAAAAATGTATTCATTCGCTCAAACAAAATTTTATTCACCATCTATACACTATTTATATACCATTTATTCACCTTTTATGTAGCAGGACTGGCTAGGTACAGGGACACAAAAAAAAATGAAAAAAATATATAGTCCTTACCTCTATGAGCTAGTAATTTATAACAGGGGAGGTAGACATGCAAAATAACTATAATAAATCATGAGTGACATGTCATGTTAACTCAAATTATTTAATATATAGCACTTAAATTAAAAAATGTGAAAACCATGAGGCAACAAAGAAAATAGTTTGAAATAAGATTAGGTAAAAAATAAAATGCAAATAAGAATATATAAATAAGTATAGTATATGTCAATAACCTAGAATAAATTATTAGTAGGAAATACAGACAAATTAAATTCATGTAATGGAGTCCTAAATATGAAGTTTTTGTGTGTTTTTTATCATTTCCTTTAGTGTTACTAATGTCGATTTAAATCACAATTTATTTTTGAGAATTTATTCTTAAACAAAACAAAAGATACAATGTCCTGTGAATAATTTACTGAAAAGGTAACAGCTGTAAGGAGAAAATATCTGTCCATCCCTTTTTTGCTTTAAAGGTCTTTGGCTTCTCAGGAACACTCACCAGTTTGACATCTATGCTTGTGGCCCCTGCATCCAAGGAGTTTTCAATGAGCTCTTTTACAACACTGACCACTGATGTGATTATCTGGGAGCTTGAAAGGAGGCGAACCGTTGCTGTAGGTAACTGTTTCATTCTAGCTTTTAGTAGAGTACCTACAAGATAAAAATGAAAGTTGTAAGAATAAAAACTTCAGCATTCCCGTCAGAACTAACAGCAACATCACTAATAACAGCAGCTCACATTTATGGAGACTCACTGTATGCCAGGCTCTATCGCAGGCACATACAGTATTAGTAACTTACGTCCTAACGCTCTTCGACATAGATGCCATTATCATCTCCGTTTTATAAGACTAAGGCACAGAGAGTGAGTTGGTAAATCCCATTATGGTAATAACTGAAGAGGGTAAGCACAACTGTGGCCTGTGATCTGCCCGGCTGGGTTGCCGTCACTGTGGGATGCACTGAAACAGTAGTCATCGTATGTTTTGATGAGTTACAGTGTTTTTTCAAATGACTGAGCTCTTTTGGAGTTCGGATCTCCTGAACCTAAAATTACTGTGGTTGGAAAGTCTGTAAGGAGGATTCCCTGGAAGGTCAGAGGCCTCTGGGGGACCTTGCCGAAGGCGGCAGACTCAGCCTTGACTTTTCCACACAGGTCTGAGCCCCAGGCGTTTACCAGAATCTTTATGTTTAGACTTCAAATGTCCTGTTTTGAAAGACACTAAGATGCAGGTGTTTTCTCAAGGATGCTCACCCTGCTGATTGTATCTAGAGGTTAGTCTTAGTTCAAGCTGTTGTGACAATAAAAGCCTAAGGAGGCAGGCAATCGGGGCTTTTTTGGCTCCTTATGCCAGCTCGCCCCTGGCCTCTCTTTCAGATACGTGTCAGAGTACTCATTCATTCTTCCGTCAGGGTCTGCCGGTCAGCCCCAGCAAATTACCACTGATCCGAACTAGTCAGATCCCAGACTTATCAGGTAACTACCCTTGACACGACTCTGCTGAAAACATTCAAGTCGTGGGCTCCCCAAGGCCAACATAAGATAAAGCTCCCTCTCCCAGCACGTGACGGCTGCCTTCCCATATTCCCTGACACACTCTGTTTTCACTGGCCTCCATTAGGCCTCCCTTAGCTCACCTGCATCTCACAGACTTTGTCCTGAACCCAAGGCAGGGCCTTCTCGCCTAATACCTTCTAAATACCATCCCCAAGATGACCTGCAGGCATCCTACACCGAACGCCTCCCAAACGGATCTCAGGATCTTCCTCTCATTAACCTTCTATATACATAAACCCCCTTTTATATAACCTATTATATACGTAAGACCCCATTTAATCCTCACAACCACCATATGTGTATTATCACTCTTCTATCTCAGATTAGGTTTAAAAGCGTAGTAACGCGTCTAAGGTCACACAAATAGCGAGTGACAGACGCACACCTGCACACCTGGGCGTGTCTGACTCCCAAGGCCATGCTCCTCTCACAAGACAAAGCTAGAAACCTTGCCGTCGCCCTAGAAGTGCTCCTTACTCTCGACACCTGGCCACCAAGTCCTCTCTCCTACGGCTTAAACGTTTCTCAAAGGAGTCCTCGCCTTTCTAGACCTACAGCTGCAGGTACTGCCTCTGCTCAGCCCCTCAAAATTGCTCCCTTGTACTTTGCAATAACCACCTAGCAGACATTTCGCCTCGAGTCTCAATCACCTGTAGGGTTTTCTGCCTGTAACTTAAATTTCATCATGTTGCTTGCCTAGTTGAAATGCTATAAAGATTCCCAACCACTAACCAGGTGCAGTGCAAACTCCCTGGCAGCTGGGCCTCTATCGAATCCCAGCCCGCTGTTCTCCAGGCCCCCAAGGCTCACCCCTTCCAGCTGTGGTTCAGGGCCCACCGACCCGACCCCGAAGCTTCTTTCCTCTCCATCCCCCAGCGCCTCTCGCTCACGCCCGCCCCACACCCCTCACAGGTGGCTCCGGCCCCGCTTCTCCCTCCCCTCCATGGCGCAGGGGTCTCGAGGACAGAGGTTTTGTGTTCATCGTCATCCCTTCGCAGAAGCTCTGCAACACGGCGAGCCTGACACGGCGCGTGCCGCCAGCAGCACCTATGGAAACACCTATGGAAACGTGGAGGGTAGGTATGGGGCGTGCAGGTCCCAGCCGGGATCCCGGGGGCGCAAGGACTCCGCCTGCAGGTGTGCGGGGGTGCAGGTGTGTGTGGGGGTGGTGGTGCAGGTGTGCGGAGGGGAACGCACGCCTGACTGTCAGGGAGGGCAGCGCTGGCCCGACACGAAGCAGAAGTCAGAGACCAAGACAGTGAAAAGGTTTACTTAATAGACATAGGAAGTCTAACACAACTGTCCACAGAGCCAGCAGAAATGCAAGGGGTGTGTGTGTGTGTTTGTGTGTATATATATATTATATATTATATACATACACATATACACATACACTAGAGGCCCAGTGCAGGAAATTCATGCACAGGTAGGGTCCCTAGCAGCTGCCAGAAGGGCCCCGCCCCCTGGTCGAACTCCCAGACAAGGGGACAATCTGCATATTAGGCTGTTATAATATAGGATATATCTGTATCTATATCTGTATCGATATCAATATCTATATCTATATCCAGAGTCATCATTCCCGAACACCACCTTCGACATGTTGCTGACAGCGACCTCGGCGATGCGCATCCCAAGCTTTGTGCGCGGCCAAGTCATGTAACGCGGTTTCAAATCATGGCTCCCAAGACTCTCCATTCTCCCCTCGGTTCTCAGAGGAAACCAACGCTTCGCACCCCCATCTCCTCCGCTTGGGGCGCAGGAGCCGCCGGCGCGGGAAAAGCCGGCACCGAGCAGGGTGCGCGC